CCCAAGCTAGGCTCTCCTAGAGATCTCAGACCTGAGTTCTCAAAGAAGAACCCAAGGTGGGTTCTCCTGGAGAACTCGATCTTTGAGAACCTGAGAGAAAAAAAAAAAAAAAGTAAAAAGGTGAAAACACGGTGAGAGTGAAATGGAGACTAACAGAGTGTGAAAATTAACGAAAAAAAAAATTTGTAATGAGAGTGTGGTAAGAATGTGTTTGTGCCACTCATGGTCCAACATATTAACATGAAAAATGTTTGGACTTTAGTCTAGGACTATACCTTTTCTTCATAAAGTCCAAATCTGTGGGGTTCCGAAATGTGTGGTGCTATGAACTGCTCAGGACCTTTTTGGTTTGGTTTTCAAACCATTTTGCTTTTTTTAAAAAATATTATATATATAAAAAAATATAGTATAATTTCAATTGACGGAATTACACGTTATATTAATTATTAAGTAAATAATTAAATCTTTTAATCTCAAGATTGTTATTTTATTTAATAATTTTTATTTTACAATCTAATACAATTTAAAATATAAAACACATTCTTATTACATATAAGATTAGAAATTACCATACAAAAATCTATACAAAACTTAATAACTTTTGCTCATTTATAGCCCCGGAGTCCAGACATATTCTATACTCACTCGTGCTCTCATACTTGCACACACATTACTTCTAAACACACAAACTCGAACCAGAGTTGAATATTCTACATCGTCGGCTAAAGGAGCATGTGACCACATTCAGCAGTCAATTTTAAGAACCAACGAGAAGCTTCCAGGTCATTCTATTTTTCGGTACTCCCCCAATACTCTACCTTGTTACATCCTTTCTCCTTAAATAAGGAAGGAAGTTATTATCAACCACAAAAGAAAGGGAACAAGATTCAATCCGACCTAAGAAGGATCAGCCAACATTCCTTTGGTATGTGATCACAGATAAACACATTATAGAAATGGAATTCAAAAAACGAACAAGATTAATAACAAGGCCAACAGTAGAACAAATAAAGCAATGCCCCAAATGGCATACCCGGATGCAGTGGCTGGAGACCCAGTTCCTGTCTCTGGAAACCTAAATTCAGTTCCAAAATCCTTAGATAGCTGCAAGGTCTGTGCAAATGCCTGGTATTTACAAATGTCAGCATCGCTTACGCTTCTACGAGCATACTTAAATGTATATAATTTTTTTAAAATTTATTTAAAAGTCATTTTAAAAGTTAATTTTTAAACTTTTCTTTAATAAATTTTTAAATTTACGTGGAAAAAAAAATTAAATTAGGTGCCTTGCCCGACGCTAACAGCCTCTAACTTCAATGATGGTTTTGCCGAGGTGGTTTTGTATCAATGAACTCAACTTAATTGTTTTCTTTTGATTTTGCATAAGCAAAACCGTCATCAACAGCACCACTTAATTTTAACCGAGGCGGATGCTTTTGCTTTTACTTTTCGCAGTTTAAGGGAGGACAATGGGAAGACAGCAAAGGCTTACTTGGTAAATTATTCCCTAATTGGAGGCAGAATTTTGCAGGGAGATAAAGATGAAGTTCTCATGTATTTGGAAAGAATTAAAGAAAGTAATCAGTACCTTGCGTGCTCTTTAATTGTTTTACTTTGGCTTTACAAGATAATTTTGCAATACGCATGTCCATATGCATGCATGCCCTCTCAAGTATACTGTAATTTATCAATAACCAAATTCCACAACGAAAGTGTAATATATCCATTTTTCTCACCTCTGATGTTATAAATCTCTAATTAACTTTTACATGATTAAAATTTTTCTTGGAGATGAAAAGAGAAAATAAAGGTAGTGTGCTTTCAAAATTGAGTGTTGTATTCATTTCTTTTTTAAAAAATATATATATTTTAAAATAAGTAAACTTTTCACATTTATTTTGATAATATTTTCTTATCAATATTTCTTGATAAGTTTATTAATTATTATTTTATTTAATTTTATGACCGAAATACAACAATGACATGATATAGAGATGGAAGAGAATATTCGTGGAACAACATCTAATGTCTACAGACTTGCCTGACTCACTCGTGCTCTCACACTTGCACACACATTACTTCTAAACACACAGAATTGGAACCTAAGATGAGTCTTTATTCCATTACCTATTCTCAAAAAAAGATGAGTCTTTATATCCCAAATATTCTACAACATCCGCCAAATGAGCATGTGACCACATTCGGTAGTCTTCTTCAAGAACCACTGAGAAGCTTCCAGGTTATTCTATTTTGAAAAATGAACAAGATTAATAAAAAAGGCTATCAGTAGAGCAAATAAAGCAAAGCCCCAAATGGCATAACCAGATGCAGTGGCTGGAGCCCAAGTTCCAAAACCCTTAGACAGCTGCAAGTTTTGTGCAAATGCCTGGTATTTACGAATGTCAGCATCACTGACACTTCTACGAGCAAACTTCATGGACTCCTCAAAATGAGCAGCCTTAATCTCCGCAACTTCGTCCTCCACATCCTCATCCGTGGCTTCAAGATTCTTAGCCTTAATCTCCGCAACTTCGTCCTCCACATCCTCATCCATGGCTTCAAGATTCTTACTTCTCCTTTTCTCTTTCTCTGTGTCCTGCAGTAATTCCAGATTTGTTTAAAGTTACTTCCGCTACATCTTAAAAGAACAATATAGAAGTAACTTGCAATTACCATCATCTTGTATTTATTCATTATTTGAGGTTGAGCAAGCGGAGAGA